TATTAGAACAAAAAAGGAAATTTCTTGGCACTCACCTTATGAGCTCAAGAAAGGTAGGAACTTAAAGCTTCCCTTCCAAAAACAACTCCACTATCGCCTTTAACCCTTTGTAGCTAGCACTTGTACGTAGTAGTTTGTAAATCCAACGGTGAAATCTCAAGATCTTTGGCAAAGATTGGAGCTAGGAAAGAAAATAGAGAACTTTCTCTTTTCCTCTCTATGATGCACAGCTGAGCAAAGGAAAGAAATGGAGATATTTTGGGCCAAAAGCTATATAAAAAAGAAGGAAACAGGCGGTCAAAGTTGGTGGCCGCCTGTACCACGTCACAATCCGGCCGGAATCTGGCCGGATTTCTGACCGGATTCCAGGCAGAGGAGAGATCCATTTTTTTTTCAAAACCCTTCAACAATCCGGAGAAGAACTGGCCGGATTTGGCCCTTTCTCTTTTTCACAAAATTTTTCTGTCCAAGCTTAAACGTTGCGCTCATCCGTTCTTCCAACAAAGATATATATATATATAGATACATATAATCTCACACAACTACACATAATATACACAATCACACGTTCATATATATACAATGAAACCTTCCTTAGAAATAGCTAGTGAATGGTTTTCTTTTCAATTGAAAAAGGAAAGTGAGAATAACCAAAATGCTGAAACAAATGTGAAAATTTTAGGGTTCTCACACCTTTGTAATAGTAAATGCTAAGGGTACTTTGATACCTTATGGCTATTCTGACTTGTACTTCAAGTTAACTTGTTGAAAACTCAATTGTATATATTTATGCAAGTGAATGGTTACGTATATTAGTTGAAATGCATGTTTCTATGGCTATGCGTACTTTTCTTGTATCCATTGGAAGGTATATCGAAGTTCTATTGCGCCTTTGGTAGGGTATACATGTGTTTTGGCTTAGTAATCCTGGCGGGAGTTGGGCAGGCAGTTCGCTAACCCTTGGGGTACACCCTAGAAGAAGGTGGGGCTGTCGCAGTTGGTATCAGAGCCTAGGTTAGAAATGACTTGGGCAAATTAGAAATTTGATTCTCAGGAACTTCGGGTGATATGTTAGGGTATCATTAAGTATGATTCACCATGTCTAAGATATCAACAGTGTTATCCTTGTAGGTTATGGATGGAGCTAGTGGAGAGAGTGGAGGTGAGCCATCTCGGAGGCGCTTTCACGTCTTTGATTACGAGGAGAGGCTGGGGGGCCGATTTGATGTTGGAGTACTGCTAGCTGGACTAGGCGTTGTAGTCATTGTCAGAACTACTCCTATATCGATCATGTGGTCGTTGCGATGCTAGACGAGAGGAGGAGGCTTAGGCGTGCCACTGCTAGGGATCAAACTGAGATTGTGAGATTGAGGGGCATCATGAGGATGCAAGTGGATTGGATTCGGGAGCTCCAGGAGGACGTAGCAATGGAGCAAGGGAGGACGAATGCTCTTAGAGAACAGTTGCAGGTAGTTAATGACCGCCTCACTAGAGTGGTCAGGGAGGTTAGGGACCGATCCAGAGGCATTATTGATGAGTGTGAGGCACTAAAACAAGGAGTGATTGGCGCTAATGCACAAGTGGAGGTTCAGGGTGACGGAGCTACTAGAGAGGGAGACGTCCTAGTTCTAGCCATGAGAGGGAGTCCGTTAGCTTAGTTTGGAACTAGATTAGAGTTCCTATGAGCCATGTTTTGGTCCCATATGAGGGATAGTAGGAAAGCTCTTAGTTAGCTGTTTTTGTACTTTTGGCATAGTGTTGTATATTGTATTTTTGGATATGACCCCACTACTTTCATGGGATTCCTTTTGTTTGTATCTGATTGCTACTGTATGCTTTGTATGATCAAGTTGTGTTCTTATATATATTTGACTTTTGATTTGTGTATACTTCTTGTAACTTGTTCATGCATAGATCTATCTTTACTATTATATTCACGTTTCGACCCTAGATTGGTTAAACCAAATGGAGGTTACCCGTAATGGACGAGACCGTAAGCGTGGATCTAGGCAACCCTTGAATGAAGAGGGTAATCGTGAATTGGTACCTGAACAGAATCCTAAACCGGGGATTGATTGTAATGTTCAGGTAGCCGCCGCTATCCAGTGCATAACCGATCTTTCGGCTCATGTAGTAGAACATCAGGGCCAAAATCCTGTCAATCAACCTGGAAACCCTGGTAATCATGTAGAGAGTGAGGATAGAGCCCTTGAAGGATTCCACAAGTTCTCCCCACCAAAATTCCCTGGAGAACCAGACCCAGACGTGGCCGAGAGGTGGTTAGAGAAGATGATCAACATATTTGCTGCTTTGCATTATACGGAGGAGAGACATGTGACTTTTGCTGCCTTCCAGTTGGAGGGTATAGCCCGTTCTTGGTGGAATGTGATAAGAATGAAGTGGGAGAGAGAGCAAACCCCAAGGACTTGGGTAAACTTCATGAGGGAGTTTAATGCTAAGTATTTTCCACCTCTAATTCAGGAGAAGAAGGAGGATGAGTTCATTAGGTTTCGCCAGGGAGCTCAAACTCACTGACCTTGGATTGTCGTCACAGTTGGACTCCCGCCAGATCACGCCAAACCACATCAGCGGCGACTATCTAAATGTTATCAGTAATAATTTCACTTTGTTTGACAACTTGGTTGTTGTTGTCACTGATAATAATAGAAGTAGTTAGTGACAACTTTCTCTTTTCACTATCTGATTTAAAATATTTATACACTATAGCAATCGTTATTCTACATTTGCTCTCTAATGAATTTTTTAACTATCAGGAACTCAAATTTTGTCATGTAAATTAATATTAGTGCAATATTTTAAAGTGAAATTATCCATTTGAAACAAATAATCTCTCCTTAGTATAAAATAAAAAAATTCTAGAGTATTGGGCGAAAATATGGAAAGAAAGATAAATAAGTTGTAGTAATTTAGTTCACAATTTTGAAAAAGTAATATCAATATTAACATCGGATCAACTGTCTGATGCCATAAAAAATTTAACTATTTGAAGCAGAACCAAGGTGCATTTACCACTTGTAGTATTGCAACACAATTTTCTCACCCATTATGAATATTTTCACAAAAATAATTAAAAGTAGCAAGTAATAATGTAATAGTAAAATATTAATTCAACTAAAAAGTTGGAAACTAAAAAACTTTGTTTGAAATTTTGCTACTGAACAAGTAAGGGGGGAAATCTAAGGAATTGAAATTTTATTCAAAATCAATAGTCTGAGGAAAGGCGCGGAATTGATATTGAACACTTAGTAAAACCAACCATTGGACATGTTTATTCATTCACTCTACAAGACACTACCAACCAACACTTAGAACCAAATAACACTTCTCCTCATCTCTGCCGAAACATCTCCTAGTCATCTCCTGATTGATCTTGGCTCCGCAATGATCAAATAGAATACCACATTCAGCACCAACTCTCTGGAAAAAAAGGTATGCTGATTCTCTTTTTCCTCCTTAATTTTCCCCCAAATGTTTTGCCCTAATTATTTTTTTTGCCAAAAATTTCAGTCCAGTTTTTTTTTGGGTTTCATTTGATTTATGGATGGAGTCATCTCCTCCTTTTGGATTCTGCTTACTTGTGGGTTTTACCCTTATTAATTTTTGGTCAACATTTTCTTATACATGATAAAGGGCTTTAGTGGGTTTAATCCAATTGTCAGACAACCAAATTGTTCAAACAATAGTTGACAACCTGAGGATGGTTGTCTCTTTCAAGTCAAGAAATTGACAAATGGGAGACCAAGAAAATATCTCTTATGCGCGATGCGGCCAGCATATGTATTCGCATAATGCCACAATCAACTTTGCGTTGAATCAATTCATTCATTTGGTTGGCAGCCTGCTGATGCTTTTTTTTTCTTTGTTGAAATCAAGTACTAGGAAACGATTGGAAACATATTTCGAACATAAAATTATTTTCTCATCAGGATTTTAAATTTTCAGCATGGTCACCAGGGTTTGGGACTGGTGAGTGATAACGGATAAGAATGTGGTGGTCTTAGATCACTGGACAAATTTTGCGGGGGACTTGGGCCAACATCAAGAATATATATGTTCACATAAGTGCCAGACATAAATTGGCTAAGGATAATTTGGACATATGTTGTTCCTCATTGGCCCCAACACCACTGTACTGTATATGTGACTCTTCCAGTTCATTTGTTTATGGTTTCAGTCTTTGAGAAAAAATGCTTTGTGTTTTGTCACCATTATTGGACAAATAACATGTTACGATTTATGTTTTCTTCTATTTCACGATGGCCATAGCAATCTGTATAGTTTATAGGTTTGTATATATATTTCCCTCGATTCTCCTAAACCATTTTGGAATTCAAATGGATTTTGGTGATTTTCAAATAAACGCATGGTTCTCTCACTTATTCAGTCTCTCCGCAATGGATTTTACCTGTGAAAGCTGTAAGAGTTATAGAAAAATATTTTACATGTCTTTTCAAAATTAATTATTTATGCTCATTAGAGAACCAGGTGACTTGAAATCATTTGTTCTTAGTAACGAGTGACTGTGGACTTAGTTTATTGAAAGATTGACATCATAAATGAGTTAGGATATTACAATCTGCCAAACAGGCTGTCTTTTTCTCTTTTGGTACCTTTATGCTCTCCGTCTCCTATTTTCTTCTTTTTTCGTGTTATTAATTGCCAGTCCAATTGAACAGAAATGTATATAATGCATATATATGTGCACAATGGTTAATATGATTTAATAACTAAGAGTAATTACTATCATTTGTTTGCCCTTTTTACTATCATTTGTTCGCCCTTTTTTATATGCTTACATTGTGACATGCTTGAATTTAGTAATAGCTATGTTCTATTTTGTTTAATTTTTATTGTTGTTGTATGGGAAGATTAATTTCCTATATTGAGCTTAATTTCGTATATTTATTATATGTGTTGTCCTTGTAGTATCATGGTTGCATATTTTTTTGTGTTAGGATCAACGGTGCTTGTGAAAATACATGGATAGGAGTTGGATGACAATTAAAGATTACTTGCATCCTAGATATTTGGCAGGAGTGAAAGAATTCATTGAGTTTGCTTATTTAGGCAAGGATCCCACATATAAGCTCCCTTGTCCATCTAAAGTGTGCAACAACTTTGAGGATCAAATTATGGAGGTCATGAAAAGTCATTTGTGTGGGGGAATTGTTGAGAGCTATACTAGGTGGGTATATCATGGTGAAAGGTTTCAGGATTCTGATGATCATGAAAATGATAACATAGTTTTAGATGAAGAAAATAGTGAGTCAAATGATATTCAAGAAATGTTAAATGACGTTGGTGCTGCTAACTTTGGTGAGAATTGGAGAAATTCGGGGGAACATAATAGGGATATTCCAAATGAGCAAGAGGGGGAAGCAAGTAAGTGTCTTAGATTATTATCCGAAGCTGAAAAAAGTATCTACTCGGGTTGTGATAAGTACTCAAAACTTTCCTTTGTTGTCCATATCCTTCATTTGAAAACTATGAATCGGTGGACTTGCAAATCCATCGACATGCTGCTGAAATTCCTCAATCAAGTCTTTCCCATGGCATCAATTCCTAGTTCATACTATGATGCAAAAAATTTAATTCGTGAGTTGGGACTCAAGTGTGAAAAAATACATGCATGTGAAAATGACTGTGCACTTTATTGGAAAGAAAATGAAAGCCTCGATCACTGCCCAAATGAAAAATGTAAAGCACCTCGTTATAAATCCCCGGGTTCTAAAATTCCTAGAAAAGTGCTTCACTATTTCCCCTTAAAAGCAAGGTTGCAAAGACTATTCATAAACAAGGAGATAGCTCAAGATATGAGGTGGCATAAGGAGAGACGCGTTCCTAAGGAAAACACAAGGACACACCCTGCTGACTCAATAGCTTGGAAGGAGTTTGATGAAACTCACCTATCTTTTGCCAAAGATCCTCATAGTGTTAGGTTGGGGCTTTCAACTGATGGTTTCAATCCCTATGGAAACATGAACAATGCATATAGTATATGGCCTGTAATCCTTGTTCCTTACAATCTACCACCTTGGAAATGCTTAAAGGACCCTTTTTTCCTGTTATCAATGATTATTACAGGTCCTAAGTGCATAGGAAATGATATGGATATACTTTTTAGGCCTTTAATTGATGAGTTGAAAGAGTTTTTTGACATTGGCTTTGAGACTTATGATGCAGCCACGGGAGAAAAATTTATGTTACGGGCTGCTCTATTGTGGACTATAAGTGATTTTGTGAGACCCCGGTCAGTTCTTAAGTTTGATATTAGGTGATATTCATTATTTGTGCGATAAAATTTGGTTTTAGGGTTAATGAGAAAATCCTAATTTGGGTTAAGATTAAAACCCTAGCTTTTATATTAAGCACAAGATCGAGTTATAGTTAAGCTAGCTATTCTAGTGCGTGTTTTGGAGTAAGTAATTATGGGATTCGATTTATTTTATATAGGTTAAGTAAGTTTAAAAGTTAGAAAACCTCAGACTAGTAAACCCTCAGACTAGTAAACCCTCTAGTGTTACAATAGATTAGAAAGCTTAAGTTGGGTTTAAAACCTTAATTTTGCCAATGTTATAAAGGTTGTTGTTTAATTGTTTTTATTATGGAGAAAGTATGTTTAAGTATAGGTGATTAGGATAGAAAAGTGATTAGTGAAGCAATTAAGTGTGATTACATGTTTTGGACTAGATTAGGTTTAAGTCCTATGGAGTAAATTGAAAGAGTTCCAAATGTTTGAGGGCAAGAGAGGAACAAAAGCTAAGTTGAAGTGCAATGGTTAAGAAGCAAATAAGGTACTTTTATGTGATTGGTTAGCCATAAGAAATATCTTTCCTAAGTGGTCCTGCACCACATATTAGTCACAAGGGACCTAACCAAGTCTTTAGTAAGACAAAACAAAGCAAAACAAGAGAGGGAGATAGAGAGAGGGAGCCGTGGGAGAAGAAGAAGAAAACAAGGGAAAGTTTCCAAAGGTCAACCAAAATTCTTCCATAAATCTTCATCTTGAAGCATAAAGAATCCACCTTGGAGTTGGCCTAAGGTCATTAGCCATCATACATACGTTATTTTGAGGTAAGAAAGTCTAGTTGAAGGTTTAAGTTGGTTAATGATTCATGAACTAGTGGTTATTGTGGTAAAGGATGTTAGTTGTGATTGAGTATGGTGCCTTTTATGTTTCCCACTTGTTTTTATGGATTAATTTGGTGAAATTTGGGGCCTTGATGTTCGGCCATATGAACCCTAATTAGGGTTTCTTGTTAAACATTTTAGTTAGCTCTAATCTTGTGTTATTGAACTTGTAGTGGTTGTGTTTGATGATTAGTTTCATTGGTTTGGTGAGTGAATGGTAAAAACTGATTTGGGTTAAGAAACCCTAGGCTAAAGCAAGGAGTATAAACTTGGTTAAGGATTAGCTTGGTTAGGGTTTGATGGGTTAAGTTTTGAAGTGGCTAGAGTTGGTGAGATTAGAATCTTTATTAAGGTTAGTGTTTGGTAAGTTTTGGGATTAAATTGGGAAAGGAATTTTGGGCCTTTTGTGAAGCTATTAGAAGCTGGTATATGTGTGTTTATTTGGTATGAATTTGGCCTGAAAGTTTGTATGAGAACCATAGAAACGGACCATACGTTTGTGACGTTCGAAACCGGCAAAATTGGAAACAGGGCAGTCCACAAATCCGAACTTGAGCTCAGTTTTTCTTTATGATGCGTACTAATTCAGAAGTTTCTCAAAACATGAAAGTTGTAGTTTCTTAAGTCCTTAAGGTGCTTGCAAAATTTCAGGTCAAGCGGATCAGTGTAGCCCGAGTTATAGCCAAAACACTCACTCCTATTTTGAACACTGGATTGTGTTATGTTTTTTAATTCTGCTTCTGACCATGCTCTGTCCATCTCGATAACATGCGAACTTGGTGTTGATCCCTTCATAAGAAATGTAGATCTTGGTCTTAGCTTCGAAACAGTATAAAGTGCATCCAAATCCGAGTTCCGTAGCTTCAGTTATGACCAAAACAAGATCAGTTGTCAGAACTGCCTTCGAATTTGGACAGTTCTGACAGGAACTTTGAACCCATTTTCCCTATGCTCCGTACTGATTCAACTTTTGGTCAAAACACAAAAGTTATAGCCTTATAAATAATTTTTCTAACACCTTTGGAATTTCTTGATTTCAATCTCTGAGTCGTGAGTTATGGTCTTTCAAACAGGGCCTATTTGGTAACCCGAAATAAAATGGCTGGAACTGTTTTGCACATTTTTGTCCTAATTCCATTGAGATCTGGCTTGAGGTGTCTTCATGAAAGTTGTAGCCCTTCTTCTTAGATGCACAACAGTACCTCATGCACTTCGAATCCGATAACCGTACCCTGATATTTGATCAAAACGATTCTATGTTCCAAATCTGCCGTTTCCGTTGCCGGCTGTTCACGTTTTCGTTTGCCGTTTCCGCACTTGCATGTGCCAATTTTGCCGTTTTGCTTGTTTTAGGCATGTTAGTAGCCGTTTGTGATATAATGTGATACAATCTTCTATTTCAGACGATGGTGAACTAGACAGAGCCGGTGGGGCCATTTTTGTATATAACTTGTTTATGTGTTTAAGGTGAATGAAAGGGTACCTAGGCGAGGGTGTACTTCGTCGCACTCGACCTAAACCCTAATTTACATGCATATTTATACATGACATGTCTAAATGACTTATTTTGGGTTTGAACCCCTTGAGCTTGTAGCTCGGGGTGACGTTTGTGAGTTGGGGTCGATCTTCCGACCTAGATGGACTATCCGAGCCAGCCGAGGCTTGGCCGAAGCCAGTCTAACCTAGTCTGAGGTCACCAAGTTTGTGAATCCGGTTCACCGAGAATGTGAACCGAGCTTGTGAACCAAACTCAATTTCGTTCGTTCGAGCAATTTCATGAGGTGACTGGCCAGTGAGGGTGATAAGGTGTTAAGTGGGTGTACAAGTGGAGTTCTACGGGCCTTAAGTGTGGTCGACGGAGGGTCGGCAGGAGGTCACATATGGCAAATGACGTAGCTTTGGAGCCAACCTGTATCCTTCATTTGTATTGTTACTTTTGCACTTGACTTGACATTTTTGTGAAATAGTTGTTTATCTAAATATGAAATTTACGCTTTTACCCCGTTTACTTACTAAGCATTTAACTTACCCATTTTCCTTTGTTTTCCTTAACAGAGGACGATGCGGGGAAACCCTTTTGCACTATCACTAGTGTAGCTAGGTTGGTTTGTAATGGTTGGACAGCTAAGATATTCTTTTACTTTGGTGATCTAAATAAAGAACCCGTCTTTGGGTCTACTTCTGCTTTTAGTTAGTAGCATAGAATCCTATAGTAGTCTCGATAACTCCTTTTGAGGATGTAAATACTCTTTCGGGATTGAATATATTATGAATAGTACTCTTTTGGTTTATATAGTTTTATTAGTTTTGTGTTTTGAGTCCTGGCGCGAGTTAGGCAGGCGTCCCGCCGATACCCTCGGGTTCGCCTTTGGGAGAAGTAGGGGCGTCATAGGTGGTATCAAAACGCCTAGGTTAGAGGGTTTGGGCAATTGGGATATACGTGATAGGCACTAGGCATATTTGATCCCTTATGATTCCTTTAAGATGAATGGTATATTTTAAGCTGAAATGCCAGGGAACTGACGAATGACTGTGTTGTAGGTATGGATCCGAGCAGTTCTAGCGGTGCAGGACCCAGCGGCGTGGGACCGGGACTGAGACCTCCGAGTGCGAGTGTGAGAACCCGTAATTTTCTTAATTGCTAGGTTTTATTTTCTTTTAATTGCACGTTTTTCCACATTTTCTTATTTGGAAAATCTTAAAAATAATTTTTATGAGTAAATATGGTTTTTAAATCATTTTTCTAGTATCGCATAGTTTTTGAAAAATTAAGCCGGTCCGTTTGGATTAGCTGTTTTTGGGGTTATTTTTCAAAAACAGCACTGTAGCATTTCGTTTTTCAAATACAAGTCCGTTTGGATTAGTTGTTTTTGGAGTTGTTTTTAAAAAATTATATAAAAAACTTTTACTGTAGATGTTTTATGGATTATTTTTAGATGTATTTTTAAAACATATTTTCGAGTATTTTTATAATTTATAATTTTTATATTTTTATAACAATATATAATTATACATTTATAAATAAATAAATTTATATAAAAATATATAAATGTATTATATTATATATAATACATAATATAAATATATTTATAAATGTATAAATTATAAATGAATATTATATAAATGTATAAATTATAAATTATAATTTTTATATTTTTATATTTTTATATTTATATACATTTATGCATTTATAATACATTTATTAATATTTATAAATATATATTTAAATATTTATAAATAAATATATTTGTACTTTTATAAATAAATATATTCATATATTTATATATAAATGTATTATATTATATATAATACATAATATAAATATATTTATAAATGTTTAAATGTATATTACTATAAATATATAAATTATAAATGAATATTATATAAATGTATATTATAATTTATAATTTATAATTTATGTTTTTATATTTATATACATTTATGCATTTATAATACAATTATAAATATTTATATTTATATAAATATATTTATATATTGATAAATAAATATATTTATATATTATGTATAAATAAATAAGTATATTATATTTATAAATAAATTTATATATTATATATAAATAAATAAGTGTATTATATTTATTTATTATATATTATATTTATAAATAAATATATAAATGTATTATAAGTGTATTATATTATATATAATACATTATATAAATATATTTATAAATATATAAATGTATATTATTATAAATGTGTATAAATTATAAATGAATATTATATAAATGTATAAATTAATATATTATAAATATATATTAATACTATGTATAAATGTATTAATGTAATAAATATAAATGTATACATTTATTAATATTATGTATAAATGTGTAATTAATATTATGTATATTAATATAAATTTATAAATGTATTATATTATATATAATACATAATATAAATGTATATTATAAATATACATAAATATATATATATTATGTTTAAATGTACATTTATATAAATGTTCAATATATATAATATATATTATGTATATATTAAATATATATAATATATAACATTTATATAAATGTATAATAACATATTTATAATATATATAATATATAGTATTTATATAAATATATAAAAATATATTT